AAAAAAAAAAAAAAACTTAAGGCAGTAAGCATCATACCCTGTGCAAATAAGTTTCTGAATTCTTGGGAAAATCAAAATTGATAACAACGTTGACTGCCTGAATATCGATCCCTCTTGTAAACAAGTCTACAATATGATCATAAGAGAAGACAATAAGAATGTAATAGGACAAAACAAATTTGCAGTATTTCTATAACTTCTACTTCTAGCAATTACATTTTCCAGAATCTTCAATCAAGCCCACGGTCTCACAGTACAAAACTAAAGAACTGTTCAAGATGTAATAAATCCTGGCATTTTGCATGTCATGAATATAATCAATATATCTTCAAAGTATGAGCCGGAAACTAGAACTATTCCTGAATAAAAGAATGTGATCAACTTAAATGATGGGAAAGATAGCAAGTGAGAAACGATGGGAAAGTCATTATCATAAGATTCCTAGAATAACCATCTCAATTAAACTTGAGAATGCACGAACACACATGTACAAACATATGAGAACACTAGTTCTTAAAATCTCAATATGGGCGAGGGCAGTACACCAAGCATGAAACCAAACTAAGTAACAGGTGGCTCTCGTTCAATGCTTCTCATGTTGCCACTTTCAGATGATTAATCAATGAATAACTTTACATTTAACTGCAGCTGACAAGCATAATTATTTTCAATGAATCTCGATTAAAAGCTAACAGCCAAACCCCGAGCAACAGCCAACAACCAAAGTTACTGCACATTACATTCCTTTTTCTGTATAACCATTAATCAAGGACCACCTCCAGAGTCAATAGATTTAACAGAATAATACCCAAACCGGACAGAAATGCACGGCATGAATATAACAATAAGCTCGAAACATACCAGTGCAGACAAGATTCCTGCAGGCACCATTGCGGAAGTCATGAAATACTCTGTTGCGATGATCTTGAAGCATCTTAGCATGTATATAGAAGCAAGAATAGCCAAGTTCTGTGATTTTCTTGGCAAGAAGTTCAACTCGATTCACAGAATTGCAGAAAATAATAGATTGGTTTATTTGAAGCTGAGAGCAAAAAGAATAGATAATTATCAGATTCAGAAAATGAATTAAAGAGATGGAAAAGGGCCATATAGGTCTACTGTATCTGACCTTTGAAAAAAGGGTGTTGAGGCAGTGAACTTTCTGCCTTTCTTCAACAAAAGCATAAAACTGGGATATACCCTTTAGAGTAAGCTCATCCATAAGATTTATGATATAAGGCCTATGCAGGTACCGATCTTTGAAATCTTTTACAGTAACAGGAAATGTAGCTGAGAACATTAGGATCTGACGGTTTGCAGGTAAAAATCGAATTAACTGCTCTATTGAAGGTTGAAACTCTGGAGACAAAAGCTTATCAGCCTGAAAAACATTCAAAATGGGTCTCGTAATCACTCTATACAACATATTGTCGCAATTAAAATCCAAATGTTCCCGAAGAGGAAAGGCAGGTAGAAAAGAGAAATGCCCATTTGAAAGGATAATCATCAAGTGGTCCCAATAATATGGAATACCAACACCAAAACCGAAATATCAGATAGAAAGACTTCGTTAATTCAGAGTTGTTCAGATAAATAGCATGAAAGGTAGACTGGGTATGAGATCAGCATCCTGAACTCCACATTCTAAAACATGGTCAAATAACAAGAGGGAAGACACATAACATTTCCATACCTCATCCATTACGAGCATAGAACATTCATTCAAAATGCAAACACCCTTTCTTGCTAGATCAAGAATTCTTCCAGGTGTCCCAACAAGTAAATGAACTGGTTGATAAAGACGCATTATGTCATCTTTCAGGCTAGTTCCTCCAGTTGTAGCCATAACTTGAACTTTTAAGTGCTTCCCAAGTTCTTTACAAACTTGTGATGTTTGAAGAGCCAATTCTCGTGTCGGGACAAGAATGACAACTGCAAAGGTGAATGTGTGAGATGATCTCAATTAGAAACAAATACTATAAATAAACATAAGTACAACAACCGAGCATATCAACGATATAAATTCAGGTAAACAGAGGCACGAAGAAGGTTGAACACCAGATGAAGATCTTAGACAGTGTTCCCGCAGATTTAAAAGATTCAACAAAGATGAATTATCATGATGAAGACTGAACATATTTCCTATTCTTAGTGGCCCTTCAATATATCTGTAAAATGGCAATTATGATGGCAAACCTCAGTTGAGAAAGGAAAACCTAGTACACTGTAAATGACAACACCTTACAGATATTAATTCAAACTAGAATATTATATATTCTACGTCCCAAGTTCAGAGAAGCTTCCAACGGATAATACAAACCTTGAATAGAATTTTTATCTTGATCAATTTTCTCCAATGCTGGAATGCAAAATGCAGCAGTTTTCCCAGTTCCATTCTTTGCCCGAGCCAAGATATCACTTCCAGTTAGAGCAATCGGAATACTCTCCTCCTGGATTGGAGACGGTCTCTCAAAACCCTTCTCATAAATTCCCATAAGCAACTCACGCTTCAAAAAGTAGTCTTCAAATTCATTTCCTTTAGTAGCTGTAACATCCTGAAAGACACAGATACAGCCACCAGGAGAACAAATTTCATCAAGAATGTCAAATGAAGACATAAAATACAATCACAGCTCACCCAAATGTCAAGTTAAAAATCAAACCATAAATAAAGAGAAATATCGGCTGCACATCCACAATTTACAAGTCGGTAAAAATCTTACCTCAGTTTTGTAACGGGTGTCCTGAGGTGGTAATTTCAAGTGTGCCTTCCAATCTTGCAAACTAGTCAAGAGAAAATCCAGAATGTTATATATGTAGTGTCAGTTGGCACGGTCGAGAGAGAATGAGAGAGAGAGAGAGAGGAGAGAGAGAGAGAGAGAGAGAGAGAGAGAGAGAGAGAGAGTTCATAACTCAACAAGCAAAGAGGCAACAGTATGCATATAAGCACAATTTTTTTTCGACAAAGCCAGTGAAAAAGGATAACAGACACAACATCTGATTCTGATTTCAAAGATTACAATTCCACAAATTTTTCAGTTCACTCTTCAATTGCATGCAGGAATGTCTAGTTAATCTGCAAATGACACCACACATAGTACAACTCGAGCACATCATTCGTTTTACAAACAAATATCTTAAAATTCGAGTATCAGAACAAACAAACAATCAAAGAAGTTGAATACTTGGCACCAAAAAGAGAATGCATCATCTGAACATACTAAAAAAAGCTTTTGAAAGGCAACATACGAAACAAAAGAAACATAAACACACTACGAAACATGAAAGCTCCACACAAAAAACTATGCCAACTATGGGGAGCAGAGATGAACCAAACATTAAAGTCAGCCATATGATTCGCACTGACTGCTGCCAAAAATGTAAAAGCATACTGCCAAATCCAAATGTAAAAAACAGGTTCTACATTCTGCCATTCTCTGACCCACCCGAACATGCATTTGTCAAACCTCTTGACAAACAATTTCAAACTTCAAGTTTTCACCCATTGAGTTCCCAACACCCCATTTCACTTGACACCAAACCTTAACTTCCATGGAAGTTTACTATTCATAAAAATAGTCCATATCATTCTACTTTCAAATCTCAAATGCTTAAAACCCAGCTCACCAAAGAAGCATCAATAATCCACAATACCACCACTGAATTCAAAAAACAATGCACAAAATAAAGCACAAAGAACACAGAAAATTATAGAAACGGAATGAAACCCACCTGGAATCGGTGGCCTCCGATTGTACAGTCTTTTCGACCTCGTCAACGTTTGATTCAGCGGACGACAACTGCGCTCTTCGCAGCCATTGTTGCTGATGGGGATTCTGATACAATTGGTGATTCTGATTACTAAGCGATTGACCCCTTTGTAAATTCTGCTGCTGCGTAGGGTTTCTCGTTTGAAAATTAGGGTTTGGCCCGGCATTCGGGTTCCTTCCGCCTGTTCCCCCGCCCATTCCAGGCGGTGGATATCTCGTTCTATAGCTCATCGGAAATCTCAAATTACCGAAATTCGATCAAAAAATTTACAACACTAGGCAAGAGCACAGATCCTGTACGTATACCCTGTATCTACGAAGAAAATTGCTGCTGAAAATTATCACTGAATCTTCGAACTGATAATGGGGCACGCACAGGAGAATACAATTTGAGAATTCTTGTAATCGGACACGAGGAGCAAAATTCTAAGAGTAAATGTGAAGGTTGAAGTTGGGAGGTAGTGAGTTACGAGGATCCGACAGTTCTAGGGCGTCGGGAGATAGGTCGTGGGTGTAGGTGGGCCTAGAAAGACATACAAGAATTCGTCTCCTCGAGCGAATTTTGGTTTTGAGCTTATATGAAATTGCACTCCATACTAATACATTTAAATTATATTACACTTTTCGGCCATCTACCGTGATCCCCGATCCCTCAAAAATTTGCAGATTTCGCCAGTGCCATAATCGCCATGCCGTCAAGCCGAATATGGTAGCCCACTTATTAACCGCGGGAAGTAGACGACCGTTGAGATTAAGTAGCAGCCACTCCCGGATAGGCAAAGAGAAGAACCTGGGCCATCGCTCTCGTGGAATGAGGCGCTGCCACGTCTCTACCGCTACTCCACAATCCCGTAACACATGTAAGGCGGTTTCGTCGCCGTGTGAGCAAATAGGACACAAAGCCGAGGAGGCCATATGGCGTCGCACCCTGTTCGAATTTGTAAGCAGGCACTCCCGGGCAGCTAACCAGAGGAACATACGCACGCGTTGTGGTCCCTGGCCGGATTCGAGAAGTACTGGCACTCTCTTCTCGTGTAGAAGCCGCCGTGGATAGCAGTCACCAGATTGGGGCGAGCATCCAACGTGAGCTGAGGTGGCTGTCCTGGCTAGCCCCACCATTGGGGACCTTAGAAGTTAATTCGGATGGGAGCTATGTCCCATCAACGGGGATGGCCAGTGCGGGGGGGGAGGGTCATTCGGGACCATTGTGGGAGGTGGATTTCGGGTTTTATGATGAACATTGGCTACTGCTCTATCGTTGGGGCCGAGCTATGGGGCTTCTTCCAGGGCCTGCAGTTGGCATGGGATGTTGGTGCTCAGAAAATTATAGCGGAGGTCGACAATCAGGTAATTATAGCTATGGTCCGTAAGGAGGTTGATTGTGGGCCGCATAACAGTCTGGTGCGGGGGATCCAGGTGTAACACCCCTCCTTATCATAAAATCAGAGTGCGAAAAATTCGCAAAGTTATTTAAAAATAAAGCCTTTTTACTTTGCGAAAACTGATTCGGGGTGCTACCTTAAAATCGTGACTTAATTTAGAAAACTGTTGTTTTAATTTTAATAAAATCATCCGGTTACTGAAAGCATAAGTTCCCAAAAGTTCGTCAAAGACAAGTTCGTCAAAATATGAGTACGTCAAAAGATATCAAAAACATCGTCACAAGTCAACAAAACATCATTAGCGGAAGCGTAAGTCATCATCATAAATATACAGTCAAAAATACAAATGTCCTGAAGCCTCCGTCATGTCACGCTCCCGGCCCGACATCCTGACCTGAAAAACATGATAAAAGTGGGAAATGAGCACTATGGCACTGTGCTCCGTGGAAACTCATATTAATGTAAACATTGAAAATAATAACAACATCATGATATCAGTATATACATAACCTCAACCTCAAGCCGGTAATAACATGAACATGAATCTGAAATCGTCACGC